CTTCTTATCCTTCGTAAGCGTTGCGTCCTTCGCAGTGATTGTTTGTTTTGTATCGTCTGTTAATGTCAATGCTCCTGGGCAAGTTTCGGCCGGCTCTCCTTGGAGATAACCTGAAATATCATCATTTGGATTGATTATTCTTTTTAGTTTATTTTCGTTCCTTTTTATTACTATTGTTTTTTTACTCTGTCTTCGCAAGTAATTTAGTTCTCTTTGCTGAGGATTTTTGCTTTTTCTTTTTTTCGCTTTTTGCATTTCTCTTTCCATTTTTCGTTATATTTTCAATTCCCCTCTTGTCTGTCAACCGATTGCACTCACGGGTTTGCGTCGCTAAAGTAATCGCCAGGACGATTAGTAATCGCGACATGTTGTCACCTTTTGCGGGAATCGGTACTCCGTTTTATATTGTTTGTAGTTGTGTGCACGTGATGTTCGTCAACGATCTGTTTTGTTATTGGTGGTTGCATTTCTCGTAGATATTTCCTAATACAATGACGCCTGAGTCTTGTTATATGAGAGCATATCGCCTCACGTGACATCGTGTGATCTCATTATATCACCCGGTACGCATCTGCCACCCGGAATTTGGAGCAGCAGATCCACATGTTAACTTGATCTAATCCGATCTGGTCAAACCGCATTTGCGCTGATGACAGCACGCAGAATATAATCAATGCGATCTGTTCTCACTGGCGCTCTCTACGGAGCAGACTCCGAGGCCGCTTGCTGGTGGACACGTGCATATCAATTTATAACTATGTAGCGATGATTGTGCTAGTGTCCTCAAATAGACATGCTGTTGATCCTGTGATTGGAGAACGACCGTAATATTCACTGCTGCATTGTATCATGTTCCACAAACAAATGAAAACCTGTTCTGTATTGTTTGGCTTGTCCCGTCTTTTTGGCTGATGGACGTTGGGATGAGCACGTCTACGATGCTGGATGCAGTCTACATCCGATAGCATTTCACAATTTGTGAAAAGAAAAGATCTGCAATTTGACCATAGTCAAACTCCAGCAATATGAACCGAATGACTAGGGACACGATTGAGCCACAGAC